CCCAGAGTTTGAGTCCACATCCACCAGAAAGCGTCCATTACCGACCACAAACGGGACGGTTTCTTTGGTCTGGGGGGTGAGAACCACTCCCTCCCCTTGGTCCACCAACGACACCCACCTGTGAAGATCAGTCTGCAAACAAACCCCCGCAGCTCCTCCAGACTCCCTGGACATGCTGAGAAACCTCAGGAGCCCATCTGAGCTCAAGTACCAGTAGAAAATGAGGAAGAGCAGTAATCCAACCAAGACACGGCGGACCCAGCTGCTGGAGAGCAAACCAGGCAGCCCCTTTAACCTCTGCTGAAGCCACATGATCTGTCTTCTGCTCCAAATGCTCTTTGGCGGATTAAACATAAACTACTGCTGTTTTCCTCAGTCGAGGGCGATCACTGCAGCGGGCATCAGTGACTTCCTGACAGCAGTACAAGCTGGGAGTGGCAAACAGCTCTGACAGGCATAGTAGTATTAACTTATCAAGCTTGACTTGAAGAGCAACGCGCAAAAAGGCCAAAGTAATTTCTTCAGTCACAGAGTGCTGGAAACCCCTGCTTCCTCATTGAAAAAGCAAACACTTGAGTGTCGAGTTTCCGTTCAAATAAGTGCAAAACAACTCCAAACATCTGTTAAACCAGCAACTTGTAGCTGCAAAGAGTTTGCGTTTATTGCAGTGCTGTAGTTGCTGTTATCAGGCTAGCCAACACATTTCTGCTCACCCACATGGCGCGTTCACTCTTCCGCATTTACTTTGTCGCGTAACCGCGTGTTCCTGCTAGAGTTTATTTCGACGGTCGCTTGTCTGTTTTATTTGCTGTGTGTACATGTCACCTCTCAGCCAGCTGACACCTCTGCTTGTCGAAGGAAGGAAACCAGCAGGCTGCCGTAAAAATACCGGAAGTGTCGAAGACCTGTCGTAGTTCGAGCTGTGGACTAAAGCGCTTGAAATCGCTGTTCTAGGATCAGCCCGTAGCAGCGTGTTTAACGTCACTGCAACGCAGCAGTAGTGGAAGACAAAACTGATCCTGGACCAGTATATAAGACTGACCTGGCAACGTCGAAACGGCTTTACGGCACCTAGTGATGACTGCGGCCTTTGCTGTTTTTAGTCTATTGAACTAATAGATGAGATATTTTGTTTTAAAGACGACAGTTTTAAATATAATGGAAAAAAAATATATTTATTATATATATTTAAAATAAATAGATAAATAAATAAAGAAATAAATGTGTTGGTATTTAATTATATTGGGTAACCAACATATTTGTTATATGCATTAAATAAATAAATAAATAAACAAATAAATAAATAAATACATATTCATTTTTTTATTTTTTTTTTTACATTTGATAAATGCACTTAATACATTCAAATGATTTCTGAAAAAAAAAATAGATCGCTTTCTCTAGTTGCCTAATAAACCGTATTGTTGGCTCTGTGACGGATCACTTTTGTTCTTCTTTTGTAAGTCACTTTGGATAAAAGTGTCAATTAAATGCATGAATATAAATGTATATATAATTTATATTTCATTATTATTATTAATCAGTCTGACTTAATTTGTTTTCCTATTTAGTATTACTGTACATTTCGGCAATAAATTCATATTTAATTTGTAGCCCCCTGTACAGACAAGAGTTAACTATATAACGATTTCATCTGGAAGGTTATAAATGTTTATAATTAAAAGGTTCAAAAATGTATATATTAGATTTCGTTACTAGCCTATATTCAAATATTGTGTTTTAATTTACTTTTGCTAAAAAGCCTATCTAATTTCAGATTCCATTGTGACAGTTTACCCTACACGGGATAACAACATTTTTTTTTTTTTTGAAGACAAAACTTTAACATACCATCAGAGATATTAATTAGAGTAAAAAAAAGTGGTTTTATTCAAGCTTTTTTTTCTCCATATAATTTTATACATTTATTGAGACAAGGATAGTTGTGACACTTTGAACTCCAGTTAATAACAACTGCTCCTCTTCTATATTCCCGTGCGGCCGGGATCTTCTGCTGAAACCGAGGGGTGGAGAAAGGCAGAAGTGGGCAGGCTGTGTTTGCTCGGGAATGCAGAACTAACTTTCTCTCGAGGAAAGGCCTTATTTCATCAGTCGCCGTTACTGTGGAGGACTGAAGAATAACGGGTCCGAAGATGAGAGGAGTTCTGGTCATTCTCGCTTGTTTGTTTGCGTCCTTTTCTCCGCTTGACTGTAATCAGCAGGGCTCGATCCCCGAGGGTAAGGCAATGATTTCAGCTGATCACAGTGTGAACAGGACTGTTTGCATAGATAAAGTTCTCCAGACTCACCGCTGACGTGGACCCCTTCTTCACACAGATATCAGTGCAGATCAGCTCGGTTTATGATGATAAATCACAGCAAATTACACTAAAACAATGCAAAAAGTTCTCACATTTCTCAAACTGTAAATAAGAGCAACAAAAAAATATATATATATAAAAATTGCGAAATGTGAGTTGCAACAAAAGACTTTGTTACATTGTAGCTACGCTCGTTTTCTCGGAGCCAGATATGTTCAAGGTTACCTAGACTGCGCTGCAAGAAAAATAAATAAAGCACAGTGCATTACACATGATAGAAAACGCCTTAGTGTCGGCTAAAGAGATACCACTTTAGCAGCAGAATTAGCTTTCTTGCGCCAGGTCGAATAATGTATACGAGTATGTTAAAGGGATAGTTCACCCAAAAATGAAAATGTGATGTTTATCTGCTTACCCCCAAGGCATCTTTGTTTCTTCAGTGGAACACAAACGGAGATTTTTAACTCAAACCGTTGCAGTCTGTCAGTCCTATAATGGAAGTGAATGGGAATCACGGCTTTGAGAGTCAAAAAAACAGACACAAACAAAACCAGCCTGGAGTTCCTGTCTGATCCTCACAAGAGAGCAGTGGATGTGGGATTCCCATTAGGATGTGCTCTTCCAGCAGGTAGACAGAGGAGCTGCACGTTTCTGTGTGTTCATGCTGTTGTGTGTTTTCAGGAGATCTTCTCGTGCTGACTGTAGCCACGCAGGAGACTGATGGCTTCAGGCGCTTCTTGAGATCCGCAAAGCACTTCAATTACACCATCAAGGTGAGGCGGTTATTCTACAGTCACTGGTTTGAAATAAGTATGTTAATAAAGTGCAACGTTAGGGTTTTCTATTAAGTCATCAGGTTATAATTCAGATCTAGCTATAGAAGGCACAAAATCTCATCTAAACACTTCTGATGAATTTTGTCATTTGTGAGATTTAAGTCAGTCGAAACAGTTTTGAGGTTAATCTAGTTTTGTTTCTCTAGAAAATAATAATCTATGGCATCATATTATATTGAATTTTTTGTTTTTGTGTCTATTTGGGAATGATTTGTGGACACATCAATGCTTTTTGGATTTGTGCAGTGAAAGCTATAGTGTTTTTTAGGTAAAAAGTAAAAGTGAAAAGATAAAATTAGACCCTTGAGGTAAAATGGGCCCCAGAGTTGGCACAGAAGGACCCAAGTGGCATGTTGGTAGCAGTGTTATTATTTTTAAATGAAATACTTATTGTAATTAATGGGGTTATTATTCAGTATTACATTTTAGACATCTCTTCGCATTCATTGAAACTTATAGGCTAATCGAGTGAAATTAGTGGTGCTGTTATGACTAATCTTCAATTAAAATATGGGTAATTAAATATGTAAATAGCCTATGCCTGTATAAAAGTCATAGCATAAATTTACCTTTCAGATGAATCTTTTTTACTGGGATTCTGCTTCGTCTGTCATCGGTTATTCAATTATTCGACTAAATTGTCAAAATACAATTTTAATTAGAATAGTAGATTTAGTATTTTAAAGACACTTAGAAAAATCTATTTATTTCCTATAATAACACATTGGTTGATGCATCATCGTCCTGTATGCTAAACATGCCAAAAATATCATTCTCATCCTTGCTATAATGCACAAAAACATAATTATATACTGTTTAAATCGTAATGCATAAATCATTACTACTTTACCTTTAATTTATTCGGATGTATATAAATATATTGCATGTAATTTTGTAGTATTTTATTAATTAGCATTATCCTGTCACTTTTTGTTCTTAATGAAAATTACATCTTTGTGTTTTTCTCTTGATATCAGGGTTAAATATGACCTTGACATTTTTGTTAGATGCCCCCTATATAACACAGTTCACAGGTTATAATCCACAGACTGATGCCTGACATTCCTCTGCTGTTTTTTAGGTTCTCGGGAGGGGTGAAACATGGAGAGGTGGAGATTACATGTCTCCTCCAGGTGGAGGGCAGAAGGTGCGCCTGCTGAAGTCTGCTCTGGAGGACATACAGGACGAGAACAGAGTCATTCTTTTAGTGGATAGGTAGTTATGTCCATCATAATTATGCCTGGAATGATTTGTCTGTACTGTCTCAGCGATCAGTGTTGATCATTGACAGTAACGATTGTTTATGCTTGGGCTTTCCACAGCTATGACGTGATCCTTTCTTCTGGTCCGAGAGAGCTGCTGAAGAAGTTTCATAGTCAACATTTGAAGTGGATCAAAACCTTTCATCAAAGTTGTCCTTAAACCTAAAACCGAAAGGCGTTCTTGTCCTGGGACTTTTTTGATCCACTTCAAATGTTCACTACTGTATATATATATATATATAATAAATTTACTGTCACTCGGTAAACTCGGGCTCAAAGAAAAAAGAGTTTCCCATTCATGATTATGATATTGTGGTGGCGTTAATGTGCATTCAACTCCTAAAGTACGATCTTTCCGACATGACTCGAATGCACCATATATTTCACCACAAAATCAAAAGAGTAATAACATTTTTTTTTTAAAATTTAAATACAAAGAGGCTCTTTTTAGGACCACTAAGATCCAATACGTTATTTTCATGAAAATTAAACCATTCTCATTACTGTAATACTTCAATAAAATGTCTTCAAAACAAAACAAAAGAATTCATTACAATTAGAACTGTGTTGTATATACAATTATACTTTATTTTGTCGATTACATCCTCATGTCAGAGAAGGGAAGAGGTTCCTTGGAGCAGGAGGCATGTCTTTCTCTCTTGTTCTATTATTAGCTTTAGATGTACGATAAGCTCTATTAGCTCAATTTTGTATAGTTTTGGATTCAAAATGAATGTTATGAATCATTTACACATACATTTCACAATGACATGTTGGAGTTATTGGTGCGTTCAAGTCCTCCTGGGAAGTTTGTTTACTAGTCGGAAAGTCATAAATACAGCAATGTTTTTTAATTCTATAAAATGATGAATACAAATGTGTATCAGGTGTATTTTTGCTTTTTTTATTACATTTATGAAAGTGTAACCTTAATTGTGTGTGTGTATATATATATATATATACATACAATCATAATTGAACAATACTATTTTTACTATACATATTACAAAATACTATATTTTGTATATGCAACTTCGTTAGTTATATTGTAAATATATATATATATATATACAGTGGGTACGGAAAGTATTCAGACCCACTTAAATTTTTCACTCTTTGTTATATTGCAGCCATTTGCTAAAATCATTTAAGTTAATTTTTTTTCCTCATTAATGTACACACAGCACCC